GGCTGTCTGTCTGTCTGTCTGTCTGTCTGTCTGTCTGACTGTCTGTCTGTCTGTCTGTCTGTCTATCTATCACAACAGCATCTCTGGTTATTGCATGTGTCTGACTATGCTAATTGTCTTTAAACATACTATAGCACAAGTATGTAAATTTTCCATAGTGAGTATTACATAGGTCAATGTCAAAATAACAATAAAAAATGAAAAATATTTAGTGTAGAACACTAGCAAGTAGCAAGTCGACACTCTTTGTATTCATATTAGTGTCATACAGTTGTAACAAAACCTATTATAATTTTTAAGAAAACTTAATGACATACTAAATAAATTTAAATTAATTCAAATATTTATTATATGATATATATATATATATATATATGTGTCTGTGTCTGTGTGTGTGTGCATCTGTATCTGTGTCAGTATATGTGTGTGTGTGTTTGCGTTTGTGAGGTGTTCCTGCTAACTTCTGTCGTGTGTGTGTGTGTGTATTAACAAACATCTTTTTTTTTACTTATACAAATTATGTATTTATGTATATATTTATGTTTATGCTTACTGATTGTACCAGATGGAGAAATGGTAAATAGCAATGAATCAGTTTTTTTTTCTCCTTAAGAAAAAATGAGATTTTGCCAAAATAATTCATCAGTGATTCTCTTCAATAATGTAATTCTTTCGATATCAAAATAAAGTTTAATTAATTAATTCAAAACATGTTTATCATAGAAAATATGCATTTAAATCATTACTTTTAAAATAGATTTTTATAAGGTAAAAACTTTTTTCCCAATATAAAATTTTAATTCTTACAAATTATGTATTTATGTTTCTGCTTGTTGTTTGTGCCACATGAAAAAATATTAATGATCAATTAATCAATTTAGTCAAAAAAAAAAAAACACTTAAGAAATAATAAAAGATGTTGCCAAACTACTTAATCAGGGTTTGTTTTCAATAATTTTATTCTTTTAATATCAAAATGAATTTGAATTCATTAAATAAAAACATACTCATCATAGAAGATGTGTGATATTTAAGTTACTAAATAGATTTTAATTTTGATTAAAAAATGTATATCATATCCCACAATTACATTTCCACTGTGACTCAGAATTTGACAGTGAACAGTTACATTTTTATATAAAATTAGGAAAATGTTCATAACTGAACGATACTTGATGAAAAATGTGATTAAGTCATGTGACCAAAATGTAGCATACTGCTATTTAAATATTATAGCTGTATACTGTTAAATAGTGTATACTGCCCAGTAAGCAGTATGCTAGATTTCAACTACAAACACCAAGTATGCTTCAGTCTGAAATTCATTCTGTGATTACCTGTGTCAGTCTTCAGACTCAGTTCCTGTGGGATTGTCTACAGTTACAGGCTCCACCAGCCGCTCATACGACACCACCATCATGATCTGTCAATCATTCATAAGGAGTTAGACATTAACCTCAGAGTGTTTTCATACTCTTATGTGTGCACTAGCTGCTCTAGACAGGCACACTTGTGCATCTGGACTCACAGTGAGAAGGGCGAGCAGACCCATCATCAGCCCCAGCATCACGTACAGGTCAAAGGTCAGACCGCCCGCCCAGAGAGGCCCAAGAATGGTGCCCAGTCCTCCGACAGAGCGCCGAATCCCCTGACTGAACCCTGAACACAAACACAGGCTTGATCCAAACAAGGCCTGAGCTTCAGCAAACCAGAAAAACTAGAAAAGTTTGTCACTTTGTATGTTGCTTGACAAAGCTTCACCTAAAAGTTGTTTGCACAAAGGTGTGGTCGGAATAGAGCTGCACGATTAATCGAATGCGATTGTCAGGCACATTTTGTCAGTAAAGCCAGTTCTGTGATTAGTAGTAAATCTCCAGCACGTGCTTTCAGATGGAGCAGCATTTACTACACAGAGCCGTAGTTCACTGACAAGCTACGCAAAATCGCGTTCATAATCGCAGACGATTTAATCGCGCGATTATGAAATCGAAGAAATCGTTTTGCGATTATAAAAGCTGTTTGCGTAGCTTGTCGTGTGTTTATTAGTCACGTTGAATCAATGAAAGCAATTGAATCTTCTGTTTATTCGGCTGCAGCGATAGGCATTTCCTGGGTTTCTTCTGCGAGGCATATTTGGAGTTTAAGCGCGAGAGCGCCCTCTGGCCTTTGGATGGAGATTTACTGCTGATCACAGAACCCTGCTTCACTGAAAGATACGCATTATAATCGCAGCTTCTGCCTAATCATGATTTATCGACTTTGCGATTTAATTTCGATTAATCGTGCAGCCCTACTATGTTAGCTTGTTTCCACCACTGAATAAAAAAATATAAAAACAGTAACTGCGATTTTTCCTGAGAAAAGACAGAATTACGAGATGATTTTAGCAAATGGCTGCAATATAACAAAGAGTGAAAAATTTAAGGGGGTCTGAATACTTTCCGTACCCACTGTAAATTCGCAACAATGAGAAAAAGTCAGAAATGCAAGATATAAACTAGCAATTTCGAGAAAAGTCAGAATTGCGAGAAAAAAAAGTCAAAATTCCAAGAAAAAAGTTAGGATTGTGAGATATAAACTCACAATTACGAGAAAAAAGTCAGAAATGCAAAAAAAAAGTCAAAATTTCAAGAAAAAGTTAGGATTGTGAGATATAAACTTGCAATTGTGAGAAAAACATCAGAAAAAAAAGGCAAAATTGTAATAAAATGTCAGAATTGTGAGATTAAAAAAGTCAGAATTGCGAGATATAAATTGCAATTGTGAGAAAAGTCAGAATTGCAAGAAAAAAAGTCAAAATTGCAAGAAAAAAGTCAGAATTGCAAGCTATAAACTCGCAATTGCAAGGAAAAAGTCAGAATTGCGAGAAAAAAGTCAAATGCTAAATATAAACTCGCAACTGTGAAAAAAGTCAGAGTTGCGAGATATAGTCATAATTGTGAAAAAATATCAGAATTGCGAGAAAAAAAGTCAGATTTGTGAAAAAAAAGTCAGAAATGCGAGATATAAACTCGCAATTGCAAGAAAAAAGTCAGATTTGTGAGAAATAAAGTCATAATTGTGAAAAAATATCAGAATTGCAAGAAAAAAGTCAGATTTGTGAAAAAAAAAGTCAGAAATGCGAGATATAAACTCGCAATTGTGAAAAAAAAGAGTCAGAATTGCGAGGAATTAAAAACAAGAATTATAAGATTTTTAAAAAGTCATTTTATTTTTTATTCAGTGGTGGAAACAAGCTTCCATACATTATCAAAATTTTTTGGGCGAAAAAAAATATTAATTGTCTAAAACTGAACAGCACATCAATGTGACCAACCCATTGAACCCGTTGCAAACTTTGCATGTAGAAATCTTTCACCCTCAAGAGAAATTCCAGATCGCTTGGATTCTTATTGAGTCGCTGAACAATGGTAAATGTGACCGTACCTTAAGTGTTCTGACTTGTTTCTAGGCACTTACTAAGCAGCTACTCTGTTCATAGGACTAACCTTGTGTCTTCTCTGATGTAATTTTGGAGAAGAGAGACACCTGGGCAACTGCCACAAAAGGAAGGCCCAGGACCTGAAGGAAAACACCAATGATGAACTCCGCCAGCTGCCACGCAAATCCTCCTAAACCAAAGAATCATTTGAGAGCCGTGAGGGATTTTACAGCTGATAAGCACAACATCCACAGTTCTGTGTGTTCTTCTTACCCTGCGGATTGGCCAGGAAGATCAGGCACCAGACACAGGAGATATTGCAGAGGATGAGGCCGACAGCCAGCACCACTCGCTCCGCCACACGCTTGCTCAACCAGCGCACGAACAGGAAGCCAGCGATCACCTCGACGCCACACAGACAGTACATGATGCTGTTCTCCAACTCGCCGAAGTTAAAGAACTTCTGTGTCAGAGGAGTCACCATAGTCTAGAGGAACAACAAGACTAAATATCACACGTAAGAAATAATTATTTGCCATATAGAGTAGTGCAAGTGATTTCCACCAGCTATAAATATGAATGAATACCTTTTATTTTCCAAATCAATTATTGAATTTGAAATTAATTAAACGAAAATGGGTGGAAAAATGAATAAACAGCTTGAATATTCGATTTCTACATGTGGGCGGGAATTAAACGCCCCTTTCTGCTGATTGGTCAGCCGAAGATCAAACCGTGCCGTCATCAGTTCTTCTGCAGTATCATGCAGCAGAATAATAGTCCTCCACTGCTGCAGTTGTACGGATTAATAACCCATTTTATCAATTTCATATTTTTCTCATCAAACAGACTAATGAATAGCTCGACACAACTCGTTGTGCAGAGTCTAGACAGGTCTTTCTTCTGTGTAGACCAGCGGTTCTTAAAGTGATAGGGGGTCCAAGAAATAATTAGCTATAGCCTAAAGTATTTCCAGACTATAAAGTCGCTTTTTCTATCATGATACATAGGCCTACTGTGATTTATTCCAAAGTGACTTTTGTCTTAGTGTTTAAAATATTTATTTTGAAACAAATTAATAAATTTCTTAATTATACAAACAAACAGACTTACTGGGTGAGCAGGGTAGGCTATGACAGCTGTCATATCATACCCTGCCATGCCCAGCTGAAGCAAAGAATAGAATTTATATCTACACAGAAGAAAGCCCTGTCTAGACTCTGCCCCAGTATGAGTTGTGTCGAGCTATTCATTAGCCTGTTTGTTTGATGAAAAAAGATTAAATGTAGTTGCAATAAATGCGTTAAGAATCCGTACACCTGCAGCAGTGGAGGACTATTATTCTGCTGCGTGATACTGCGGACGAACTGATGAAGGCACGGTTTGATCTTCGGCTGACCAATCAGCAGAAAGGGGCGTTTAATTCCCGCCCACGTGTAGAAATCGAATATTCAAGCTGTTTATTCATTTTTCCACCCATGAACGAAAAATGAAAATTTAAGCTGAATACTCGTTTTTCGTTTTTTGGAAAAAAACAAAAAAGGAGCCGTTTTCTCATTTTTCTACTTTCAATAATAAATCAAAAAACTAATGATATCCATCTTCTGTACTGCACCATAAAGGCGGCAACCGCCAGCTCAGTTCATTTTCAACAGGAGCGACGCGGCAGGCGAGCCAGTAGAAAAGCAAATGACCAGAAGGAACACGCGGACTCTGTGGTGTGTATGGCAAATTCAATTCCAAATCAAATCCATATCCCAATCAAATTCCAATTCAACATTCTGTGAAGTGTGTGGAAAAATTCAATTCAAATCCAATCAAAATTCAATTCAAATTCATCCAGTTCAACATTTGATGGCGAGAGTGGCCAACTCAATTTAATCCCAACACATGAACACATGCGTGTGTGTGTGTGTGTGTGTGTGTGTGTTCACCTCCAGAGCGGTCTGATTAAACAGTGTGATAAACTGAGCAGCCAACAGCACAACCACCTCCTCTCTGAGGAACTCTGAAAGTACAAACAATGAAAAATGGATTTTAAGCCAAGCTGATTCCCACAGAGAGTTTGAAATTTGACATACAAAAACCTGTTCTGTAGGCAGACAGTAAACTCTGAAATACGTCAAACTAGGTTTCCAGATTTGATTTATATTAAGTGAGATTCAAACATGTAGTGTGTGATGTTTTAAGGATCATTAAGTTCTCCTTTGTGTAAATGTTGGTTCTCACCTCTGCTAGCACTGAAGTTCTTGAAGGGACTGGAGCTGAGGTCCTCAGGTGGAGGTGAAGGCGGAGGGGAAACATGAGTCACATCACCGTTGGCCACTGAAGAGGTCCTGGACTGGACGCTGGTGACCGTCCCGTATGAGCCAGTGAGCTCATTGGGCCCAACCAAAGGTTTGCCCTCCTCGCCCTCCTCTTCTTCCCCCCGCTCCACTCCGTTCCTCTGACACCTTTCGTCTTGAGGAGTGAAGTCCCAGTACATGAACAGGACTATAAACTGAAGGAGGATCCACAGCAGGCACATGAAGAGCTGAAACACATAAATACATTTGTTTATTGCACATTTGCAAACGTCAAGATGCCTCACACAATGTCAACTGGAAATCTTCAGGATCTTACCCCCGGGGAAGTGTATTTGTTCACTGTGAAAGGTCCGATCTGGAAGTTACAGAGTCTGAGAAAGATATTGAATGCAGGACCTAGAAGACAACACACAAAAAAAAATATACAAAAAAACAAAAGAAAAACACCTCTAAATTAAATACAGAAACTGATGTCATTACGAGAACCAGAAATATATATATATAATTATAATTATAATTAATAAATATATAATGATTTAATTGTTATAAATAATTTATTACATATAATTAATCAAACTATATGTTCGGTAGAACACCTGCTGAATATAAACAGGAATTAAAATATTTTGTTGCACAAATCCTAATTTCCTTGTATGGTCTACTAATTTATTTTCACTGACCAATCAGAAGCCCAGCTTGACGGCAGGCCATAACCGCAGCGAAAACAGTCGAACGGTCCTCAGAGGCTGTATTTCTAGTCAAGAAGCTGAAGATAGATGATCCAGCACCAGTGCCAATACCTAGAGCATTAGAAACTGGTTAAATCACTAAAGCATTCAAACAGACATAACCTTAAAGAATTAGACTGAAACTTCACCTGCAACTAGACGACTGCAGAGCAATAACCATTTGGAGTATCCCATAAAATACATGAAATTACCTAAAAACAGACAGAAAGAGATGTTACCCACAAGCCGCCAACACTGCAAGCGTAGCCTTCATTATAGGAGCTGTTCATCCAAAAATGGTGAAATTGCTGTAAATGTGCTCATCCTCAGGCCATCCAAGATGTTGATGTTGTTTGTTTCTTCATCAGGTTTGTAGAAATGTAGCATTGCATCAGTGTATCAGCAATGGATGCTCTGCAGTGAATGGGTGCCGTCAGAATGAGAGTCCAAACAGCTGATAAAAACATCACAATAATCCACAAGTAATCCACAGCACTCCAGTCCAGCAGTTAATGACTTGAGAAGACAAAAGCTGCGTGTTTGTAAGAAACACATCCATCATTAAGACGTTTTATCTTTAAACCACTGCGTCTGGCTAAAATATGAGTCCTCTATCCATAATTGTTTACAAGCCAAAACAGCTCTAAGCAAATATGTGGGTGGATTTTGATGTGAGAGACAACAGGAGATGGACTTTTTCACTGGAGGAAGCGTTATTATGGATTATGAATTTATGGACAGAATTAACAGATTAAAGCATCTTAATGATGGATGTGTTTCTTACAAACACGCAGCTTTTGTCTTCACAAGACATTAACTGATGGACTGGAGTGGTGTGGATTATTGTGATGTTTTTATCAGCTGTTTGGACTCTCATTCTGACGGCACCCATTCACTGCAGAGCATCCACTGCTGAGACACTGATGCAATGCTACATTTCTCCAAATCTGATGAAGAAACAAACTCATCTACATCTCGGATGGCCTGAGGGTGAGCACATTGTCAGCAAATGTTCATTTTTGGGTGAACTATTCCTTTAAGTGCAAACTTACCAACAATCTCAAAAACACTGGCGAACAGGATGATTTTCTTGGTGGAGAGTGCGCGATCTGACCAGAGGCCAAACAAAGGACCAGCGAGAAGCCCGCTGAAGCTGAACGCTGATAAGCTGAGACCAAGAAAGTACGGTGCTGCATTTAACGTCTGCAGATACCTCCATATTGTGGGCAAAATCACAGCTGAAATGAAAACAGACATTCATTAGGTGACAGCAATGTTCCTTACATTACGGGCACATCTGATCTGGTATTTGAACTATTATCTTGATAGCTAGATTAGTAACTAATGGCAGTTTATTACGAGAGAAACTCTGTGACTTAGGGCTCTGAAAAATCTGAAGAATCTCTGAACACAAAGAGCGATTCTGAGACAGGCATGTCGGAAAATGTCTGATTTATAGGGTAAGTTTTATTAGAAACAAGTAACAATTCAATCACTGCTACTAGCAACATCACGTTATACGTTTGTGATGAATGTGACACAGTCTCCTTGAGAACTGAGAATCCATTGAGAATGATCCTGGCTACTGAAAAATCTAGCAACATTATTATTTTATAATCCATTATTATTTATATATTTATACACTCAAATGGAATCCAAATAAAATAATACACTAATACCTATCTATCTATCTATGAATGAATGAATGACATAGTAATATTAATATTTTGATGTGTATTGTGTACCATAGTAATATCATGCTGTTTTAGAGAACCAGTAACTTGTTGTATATGTTAATCGTATGTTAAATGAATGATAATTGTTTTGTATCATGGTAATTGTAATTCACATCCATTCAAATTCTAGTTCAACATGCTGTAGTGTGTGGGGTTGTTTCGATTTCAATTTGAGTTCAAATCAAATTCCAATGCAACATTTTGTGGAGCTTGTGGCAAATTCACTCTTAATTTCCAAATAAAATCCAAATTCATTATTCAGATCAATTGATCCGATTATTCAGATCAATCCACATTCAAATCAGTTCCAATTCCATTTAAATTCAGATCAATTTGAATTCAATTCAAATTCAATAAAATCAAAATCGATTTAAATTCAAATCTATTAAAATGCCAATTCAACATTTTGAGTGTGTTGCAAATTGAATTCAAATTCTAGTTCCAATAAATCCAACTTCTAATGAAATAATTAATAATTAATAATTTTCCTGCACTACTGAAACATCCAGCAACATTATTATTTTATAGGCTATTCTATTATTATTTTATATGAATAGATGATTATTAATAGATAATAATAATACACATATAATAATAATAATATTAATAGATAATAATACCAATTATAGGCCTAATACACATATAACAAAAAAGCACTATGATTTATTTTTTTGACATGGTACCGCAGTAATATTTTGATGTGTACAATGGTAATGTGATGTCATACTGCTTTATATATATATATATATATATATATACAAGCCCAAAGTGTAATGTAGAAATGTAAGCTGTTGTGCCCCGGACAGCAGTAACGTTACCATACTCAGCTTACCGTACTCAATGCCGCTCAGTAAGAAGATCAGTCCTATAGTGAAGAACGTCAGTCTCCTTTTGCGTCTATAGTCCATTTTTCTCTCTTTATAAATCTTTATAACTTTTCACAGCGATTTGGACCCATTTTATCGCGGCCCGCAGCACGTAATGACCAGGACACTGCCACCAATTACTGCAGCGCTGTCAGTGCTCTCTACCGCACTGCATACTGCATACTGCATACTGCACACTGCACACGCGTACTTTCAGCACTAATGTCGCCGGGTTATTAAAGACAGGTCCGACTCTGAACCAGCGGCGCTGTAATGTAACTCAGACCGTCAGCAGCACACAGCATGCCAGTCCTGTTCAAAACAAAACGTGCATTATCTGAACGCAGTGGAGGGGGCGGCTCCGAGATGGCGGCATGTTAAGATAACTTTTAGTAGCTCTGCTGACAAAAACTACTGTAACTCAAGCAAACTGTTTGCTTTGAACTGGTTACCTTACGCATTCGGCGTGTGTTTTATTAAGGATGTAATTGTTGCGTAAATATGCCAAAAAGTGCTGAAAAACGTAAAAAACGGGCGAAAAGTATGATGGACGTATCTGTAGACATGCACGACTACGCACTTTCTGCTGTTACTGATCCCGACTCTGGATATACTCCGGATACTCTTTGCTCGACTCTTCTCCCCGACACTCCAACTAAACCTGCTTCTAAGAAAGGGAAAATGGAAACTTTGGAAGATGTGGTCGCGATGTTATCATCCATTTCATCACTGATTAACGAGCGCTCTGTTCTCTCGAGAAGTTGGTGAGTAACAACGCTATGAAAATGTAGGGCTTGAAAAAGACTGGACTTTGTCTCTGCTGAAGTCAAAGATGTGAAAGTGAAAGTTGACCACCTAGCTTCTCGGTTGCAACTGGGGGAGCAGCGAATTGAGACGCGAAACTCGTTTAGCTGAGCTGGAGAGATATTCGAGGCGCAGTCTTCGGCTGAGAGGGGTTCCAGAAAAAGAGAAAGAGAACATCAAAGTCATCCGCATATGTGCGCAAACATGTCCTGAAGGGAAGGGCACATTCTTATTTGCTATAGACTCAGTTCATAGATTGGGGAAAAAGCAGAATCAAATTGGCAGCAAATCTGTCCCTCGTGCTGTCATAGTACAGTTTACCTCGCGCATTATCAAGGATGCTGTGTGGAAGGCAGCGAAGTCTTCGGTTTATCTGAAGGACAACGGAATGCGGTTGATGGAGGACCTCACTCCACTAGACCGAGAAAGACGAAAGAGGTTGTGGCCTATGATAGAAGAAGCACGCGCAGCTGGAAAAGCTGCTTACTACGTGGGTGCACGCGCCTTCATTAATGGCATTGAGATCCATCTGCCTACGTCTGCTGAGAAATAAATAAATAAAAATAAGAGTCAGACTTTCTTTTACAAACTTAACTCCCTTTTGCGGACCAGGTTATCGTCGACGAACTTTAGGAATTCTACGAACTAAGTTTTCGATTATCAGCTATGATCACATCTACGGATGATGCTTCTGTATTTTTACGGCTCATATTTTTGTTAATATACTTTCTTTCGGCAACCAGTTGTCATGCCTTGACGGTAGGATGTTCTTTCAGTATGTTCAGCTGAGCTACATTTCTCAGGTTTATTCTCGCTACTTGTTGTGCTCTTTTTGCACGTTCTGTCATTTTTTTTGTTCATTATTTCTATTTCTGTTATCTCTCTAAATGCCAGGGGTTTGAGAGATTCTGTGAAGCGTAAAGCTATTTTTCTTTTTGGGAAGAAATACAATACCGATTTCTGTTTCTTTCAAGAGTCTCACTCAACTGCAAATGACTGTAACTTCTGGAAATCACAGTGGGGAGGTGATGCATGGTTTTCTCATGGATCTGAACATTCGGCAGGTGTTTTAACACTAAAGAATAAGTTTGCTGGTGATGTTTTACATCATTATTGTGACCCTTGCGGGCATTTTATTTTTTTGGTTCTTTACACTAATGATATTTTCTTCTTTTTGATAAAAAAAAAAAAAAAATTATCCGAACGCAGTGATTTTGACGCAGCCGCAGTAAACGACGCACCTTGGGGACGTCAGTCTGGCGTCACTTCCGGCTGTCGCTACACCGCTCGCATTTACCTTGGAATTAAAAGTTCGACTAAACTATCAAGAAAACTATTTAAACTAAGCAGACCCGATGACAGTCTTAATTTCATATTTTTCAAATATTATAAACATAGCCATAGCATTAAAGATACATTTTAAAAGCACAAGATGTCTTCTACTGAGCTGTTGAACAATAAAATTAAATACTTTTGACTGCTAAACTGATATTCAATGTGTTGTACTAAAAATATAGTAAACTATTTTTTAACGCCTAAAATTGTAATGTAACCCACTCACCCGAAATATGTTACTGTGTGATTTTTACCAAAATCCAAAACCGTAACATTATATAAAATAAATGAATGGCAAATGTAAGTTTATCGATAACTACAACTTAAAACCCGGACTTGTTGTTTTCCAGCAATAAAAATTAAACAAAAAGTTGTTTTATATATATTATATATTTATGAAATGTACATTTTATATAAATGTTATACTTTAAAATAAAAGTTACAATTATACAGAAGTAAAAGTTTAATTTATTAAATATAGTTTATATTGTTCGTTTGATTTTAAGACATATATTTTCTGTTTAACAATGAAAGTTACACATGTTGTTTATTTATTGCTGGAAAATGACAAATATGGGATTTAAAATGTATTTCGATATTTAACGATGATCAAGTATCTATGGAAGCCCGTTTCCGCCACTGAAAAGGTAATTATTACTTTTTTCTCACAACTCTTTTTTTTCTTGCAATTGCAAATTTACATACACGTTATAAAGTCCAATTCCGAGGGAAAAAAGTTTTGACTGACTTGAAAAAATCTGAATTGCGAGATGTAAACTCACAAATGCAAGATAAAAGAAGTCAGAGTTGTGAGATAAAAAGTCACGGTTGTACTTTTTGTCTTTTATTCAGTGGCAGAAACAGCTTCCATAAGCATCTTTCACCGACCACTTACCAAAACAGGAGGAAAAATGAGCTTCAGGCCCTGACTGTTTGTTTCTCATTCAAGGAAAGTGCCAATACTCTGAATCATAATGTGAAATTCTCTCCTATGCGACAGTATAGAGATAGTCAGGGGTTAAATATTACGTTCAGGCCCCTCATCTGACTGCAGACTTGAGCCACTGAGACGTTATTACGCAGCGCCTGAAAATAGGCTAACTTCCGTCACCGTAACCAACGTGAGCACCTGCTTGCACAGGGAGCGTGCTGGGGACTATTTTCAGGCACTGCGTAATATCATTGCACCTGCTGCACCCATGGTACGGCAGCAAAGTTCCTTGATTATTACGCCGGAATGAGAGTATAGTTCCCAGCCATATCGGCCTAGAAAATCACAACTTTTCATTTTCCGTCGGTCTTAGTACACGATGTAACTACAGAAGAGTCAAGTTTTAAATAGGAAAAATATCGAAACTCTTTGGTCATTTTTGAGCGAGATGCTAACGGTCTAACCAGATTCAATGATCTATGCTAAGCTACAGCTAAAAGTGCTACAGCCAGACCCGGAGATCGGCTGAATGGATTAGAAAACGGTAAAACTCAACTGTTTAACTCTAGGGGAGCTGGAAAATGAGCCTATTTTCAAAAATAGTGGAGTGTTCCTTTAAGATACTGTATGCCTCCAAAAGCTTGTTACTACTAAACACAGTTTCTCATTTACTGATAAATGCTTTAAAAGGAAATAAACATGCAAAAAACAACAATGTGATTCACCAGGGATTTGTTTGGCCGATGTAGTGCACATGCACTAGATGCAATGAGAAAACAGTTCATCAACTGAGCAGTCGTATGGTTTGAATATATATATGTAACCATATATGTTTTTTTTATGTAATGTATCATGGGCCACAGTTTCCAGATATTATTAGCAATACCAGTTTCTCATCAACGGGAAAGCCTCAAAGGTAAAAAAGAAGAAAAAAGTGATGATGATGATAAGAATGCATATGTTTTCTCAGTCCTCAGAAGCGAGTGTCCTTCAGGACAGGAGACACGATCAGAAAGCCAGTTTCTTCATCAGGAGATAGACCCTGGAGTCCACTTCAAATCCATGCAGATTATTAGCATCTCCCTGAAGTCGCATTAGCAGACCTCCATACGACACATACGCAGATCTGTGCAGACACACATACGCACAAATCAGTGATTAGATTAGAATGTATTATAATACATTGCTATATTATAAAATCGAAAATGGATTTAAAATAAATTAATTCAAAATAATAAATTAATTCAAATTTAATTCACAAATATGCATTTATGTGTTTGCGTTTTATATGTATGTAAATATATAGAGTATATATATATATATATATAGTTTTTCCTAAAAGCTTTTATAATTAAAATTAATTATAAAAGCTTTTAGGAAAAAACGAAATAGTGGAAAAAATGTCAGAATGAATGAATGAATGAAACTCACAGTCGTGTGGCCGCTTCTGTTGAGGTTTCATCTCCTTCAATCCTATAAACCTTTCCATACATGACATAATCAAACTGATCAGCCCTGCAAAAGAGCAATGAAGTTACAATTTAAAACAGCTGTTTTCTGTGTGAAGATCTGTTAAACTGTCATTTATTTCTGTGATCAGAGCTGTATTTTCAGCATCATTACTCCAGTCTTCAGTGTCGCATGATCTTCAGTTATTAATAATGGTTCTTATTATTATCGATGTTTGCTGCTAAATATTTTTGTGAGACTATGTTTTTCAAGATTCTTCGACGAATCGAAAGTTCAAAAGAACAGCATTTATTTGAAATAGAAATCTTTTTGTCATAGTACTGTTAGTTTGAATTAATCTAATGCATTCTTGCTAAATAAGTGTTCATTTCTTTGAATGGTACAGTTTAAAAATAAAAACGTCAACACATCACTTTTCAATCAAATACAAAGAATAGACAACTTTAAATTGGTTTAAAATGGTTAAATTTAACAAAATAATAATCTGATTAATTAATTCAATTAATTCAAAGTCCACTTATGTTATTCTGCACGCTTAAGATGATTTTTTTCTTTCTACATGTTATCTTAAGGGTTTTTCCGTTGTTTTAGTTTTAGTTAGTGGTCGACCGATATGGGTTTTTTGACAGCCGATGCCGATATCTTGGAAAGCAGGGTGGCTGATGGCCGATATAAAACAGATATAATTTTATTTAATATTTAAGAAATTTGAAATCATTTGAAAATGGATTAAAAAATAAATGTGT